TTTTTGAGGGTGTCAAATTAAATTAATAAGCAAAAAATATACTCCAAATTTTTTTTAAAAAAAAATTAAGGGGAAAAAAATAAGGGATCCTTTTGCTTTTTCTGGGTTTAGCAATCGAGGAAAGTTGTGAGTTGGGATAACATTTTGCCATTCTCGCGGTCTTTCACATCAAGAAATAAAGTTTTTACAGAGGTTTTATTTAATTTTTTAATTTTTTTATTTAATATTTTTTTTGTTTTTTGAGGCTAAAAGCAATACAAATGGGAAAAAAGTGATAGAACGACATCGTTGTAAGATGTTTAAAGGTAAAAATATTGATGCGAGAGTTTCCTTTTTATCCAGCTTTAATTTGCTTTTTTATTTTTCAGTCAAAAAAAGAAAAAATTAAATTAAAAAAAATTAAAAGTTGCTTTGTTTATTCCTTGTGTTTCTTGGGTTTAATGCTTAATGGCGACTATTGAGAGAAAGTAAAAGAGGGGTTTTGGCCGTTGTGAAAATGAGATAAATGAGAATATTTGAAGAGCTATTGTCTAGCTTAGGTGAGTAAACTACAAGTTTTGCGTATAGTTTAATTTTGATTTTTGAATGGAGATATAGAATATTTTCTATGAAGTTTGAAATTAGAGAATAGTTTTCCCATTTTTCATTTACCTAACAATCAAAAAAATTGACTAAAAGTTACTAGCCCTTAACGATAATTTCTTATTTTAAGTCCTATCTAAGTAGAAATTGATAACTACTTCGTTATATAAAAAAAATTATATATATATATATATATATATATATATATATATATATATATATATATATATATAAATAAGTAAAATGTCCTAAAAAAAAAAGAATACAAGTCAAATAAATCATCAATCAGGTTCACCTAATTCATTTTTAATCAATTATATGTGAGATACGAAGTAATCGATAATAATTACAGTAACATCTATTAAACTTAAGAGTTTAATGATAAGTCTTTTATTTTTTTTTTTTTGAACAATCATGAAAAGTCTCATCTTGCATTGTTATTTAAAATTAAGAACAATAAAATAACATGTGTAAACATAAAAATATATATAATAAAAATGAGAATAGATTTACATCAGAACCAAATCTTTAACCCAAATATTGAAAACAATTACATGATTCAAGATTTTATCTCGTATAATCATCAACGTTTATCATTTATTTGAATTGTTTCCATTCCCTCCTACATAGTACCAAGTACTCCGATATATGCTCACGTAAAACCTAAATCTTTTAGGTACTTCTTAAATCCTAATATTTGTCATTTGTCATTATATATATGAATAAATTCCAAATCAATAGGAGTACAAATGCTACAAATATGAAATATGACCCTATTGGATACACTTATATAAAATGTAAAATGGCATTTAGTGTTTGTCCATCCCCCTCACCAAACCAAAATAGAAAAAGCTTATCATTTAGGTTAATCTTCTCTTTTTCACATAATTTTCCTTTTTGGTCAGCAAATACATAGATTATGGTATATAGTCTTCCTAGTCTTTAAGTAGTTTTCTGTCAAAAAAAGAGTCTTACAGTAAACTAAGTAGGGTATGATTGGGTGTTGCATACCCCACCATTATACCAGCAACAATTACCTCCTTGGCTACTTTTGACTTTCTTATTATGCAATATTATTAATTAGCTACACTAATCTTGTGTTTTAATAAATTAATTTATAAACTATTTGACATATTATAAGGCTAAATATCTCTTAATTGTTAATAATAATATTTATGTTAATGTTGTGTTAGTACATGGCTTTCATATGCTGTCAAACAAAAAATACAAATTTGTTATCAATTACAGACAAGTAAGCTTTTTGGCAGTGTTTGTGATTGATTTATTTAGTTGTTTCTTCAAACGAATAATTGTCTTGTCTCTTGCTCTTTGGCTCATAATGAGAGATATTTTAAAATTGTTTTTTATCATAATTAATGTGTAATTAGATATTGTATGATTTAATGCATGATGATGCAATCATAATTAATTATTTTATTTTTTTGACAATCATTAGAAATTTGATGGCGGCAGCAATTACGCCACGGTGTTTTCATGTTGGTTTTTTAAGAAAGCTTGGGTAGTTAGGTGATTTTCTACAATTTAAAGAATCACTTCTTAATACTATATCTTATTATGTATCAAAATAAAATGATATATTTTACTCTCTTTGTTCTCTTAGTTACATTAAGTTATTTTTGCAACAAAAATTAAAAACAAATAAAATAAAATGAAGACCACCTATGTTAGCAATTTCATTTTATAAAGGGGAGTTATTAAAGAGATTTAATAATTACAATTGACTGAATTGAGCTCCACAAGTGAGGTAATATATATATAAAAATATATATATAAAAAATATATATATGTATTGTTCTAAACGAAATAAATTAAAATTAGTAAAATTTTTTTTTTTTTTTTTATATAAGAATTAAAAAAATAGGGGAGTTTAGAAAAATGGATGAAAATGATATACATCAGAAAAACGAAGGTACCATGAGATGCTCCATAGATGGAGTAATCAATAATAAAATTAACAATTGTAGTCGTAATTGATGATAATGGAGTTTAGAAGATGGAAGGAGAGAGTCCAAGTTTAAGGTAGGATGTCCAACTCGCTACTTCATCATTTAACATGTGAATTGAAACATAGACTAAAGGCCCACGCTGAAATGAACATGTACCACGTTGTTGATTGTTTTTTTAATTGGGCCTATCAAGGTCTTGATTTCTTTCTTAATTAGACCTCTTACATAAAAATGATCCATGTATTATTAACTTATTATAATATTTTTAATATATTTAATGATAATTTTATTGTAAAAAGACTAATATTTTGTTAAAATTATGTCGTATTACAACTTAACAATTAAAAAGTAGTAAGATTTGTAAAATTTAGAAAGTAATCATAATCCGAAATTTAATGGATATTTGAAGCATCTAATCCGAAACTTTTAATTATCCGAACATTGGATAATCTTTGGATCGGAATTGAATATCAATTTCTGAAATCCGATCCGTGAACAAGTCTTTTTCCTTTTTCTTTTCTTTTCTTTTTTTTTTTATGCAAGAATCGACCTAGTTGAAATATTGCAATAGAATATTAAATTATACTCGTAGTATTAAAAAAAAAAAAAAAAAATTGTCTACTATGGAGTACTCCTACAAAAAGATGAATTTAAGTACGGAGTATACTATAGTACTACTACTCTACTAGCAGAAAATATTGTTATATTGATATTATACTTCGTATTATTATTACATAGTTCAGAACTTCAGACCAAAATTTTTATTCACGTAATAAACATGTACGGAGTTATTAAAAAAAATAAAAACGGAACATATATACTTGTATTACTCTTGAACCTTATGATAAAATATTCTGTTTTATTCTGGATGTATGATTAATACATAATTTTTTTTTGTAAGAATCAGATGCAAGAAACATTACATAAACCACTTAAATCTAGGAATTTAAAACTTGTTGAACTTGATCTTCATAATTCATTCTCCTCTTAAAAACCTCCACAAAGAGCAAATCTTCCTATGCACCCACTTAACCTACCAAACACCCCTTTTTCTCCTTTTGTTCCCGGAGTACAATTCAGTGATACAACTGTACTAACCACATGTACACCCTTAGAAGTAGATGGTGCATGAATATGATTCTCATGATGCAACTTAAACCGCCTTTTCGAGCCGCCGAGGGACGACGGGAGAAACATCAGGTGCCGTTCGATCAGTTGGGTGACTGAAGCCAGTTCATAGGAGTCATACAAAGGACTCCCACAATCCCATATTTTCATCATCTTTTCTTTCTCTCCTAACATTTCATTATTATCATAAAAATGTACCTTGTTTTTTGACATATTTTTGGCCCATAAATTTTTTGGAAGTATTTTTTATGAGATTTTGATGATTTTTTTCCTAGGAAGTTAGGTACATTTATTCATGAATCATGATGAAGAAAGAAGATCAAGATTTAGGGACACCAAGACATGTTTTTTGTCTTGTATGTCCCATTTGTAAGAGAGATTCTCACGTAATTTTTTTTCTTAATTTATGGACTAATGTTTTTCCTAAGCAGGAAAAACTTTAACTCGGATAATTATAAAAGGGAAATTTTGTTTATTTTTGATATGATATTACTATATCACCCTTGATATTGAGAATTGAGATGATTGTATAGTGTTTCAAGAGGGTATTGTTGTCTTTTTGGTGCATCATTCATGTGATGATGTCTTTGTTCAATGTGCAAAGATGCTACTTAATGAGAGTATCAATTATTTGTTAGAAAGAAAATGACAAATCACATCTTATTTAGAAGTAAATATTCAATTATTTGGACCTTAATTTAAATTATTAAATGTGGTGCATCTCCTTTAGGTAGTTTAAATCATATGTGGAGCAACTTCATATGATCATCCAAGCCGTTCCAAAATTAACTAGCATCCAAAAGTGGTTTAATTCATTTAGCAACGTAAAGTTCTTTGATTGTACTTATTATAATAAGGATCTTGCTAACAAGCGTCCCGAGGTGTTAGATAAGGGATTAATTAATATGTTATGAGTATTTAAAATTGTATTAACTATTAAGTACGAAATACATGACAAAATCACACATTGATCGATCGGTGTAATTAATGTTAATTTTACTACAAAATTTTCACATTTTAGCTCTCTTATGTAACGCCCCGGGGGCACTCATTAGCTTTTGCCTTATAATATTATAGAATTTGTAAATAATGTAAACTTCAAATTGTTGCGATAATTAAAATAACAATAGACGTACGACGTACTATAAAGTATTGTGTGTGTGTTTTTTTTGAAGGAAAAGTATTGATTGATATTATTATTAGTTTTTATTAAAACATTAAGTATACATTGTTGCATTTGTAAACTGAGGCTTGTCCAATCCTTTTTTTTTTCATGTGTATATATCAATTAAAAAACAAAACCGAATTTTATACTTTATTTTCTCTAAATTTAAGTGGATCGGACAGTTGTTTAAAAAACAAAAAAAATCGGTTTTGTTTTTTAATTGATATATACACATGAAAAAAAAAAAAAAAAAAAAAAAAACCTTGAAAACCAAAAGAAAGCTAGCTTAGATTTTAATAATTGCAACTAAAATCACGCTCTAACACCAAAAAAATTAAAAAAAAAATAAAAACTGGAATCAGGCGATAAATGGGGCTACAGAAAGAGCATATGAAAGACAAATAATAAAACTTTAGTTCTCTGTCAATGAGAAAAACATAAGGTTTACTACTAGAAATTAACATAAACTTATTATGGATGTTTAAACACATCACTCTAATTATAAGTTGCTAATATGCAGTACTAAAGTAACTTTTAGCAACATTACCACACACAATTTGCAAGATTGGCTTATTGTTATCAGAAACAAATCTTGGTGGCTTAAACTGATTAACAGCAGTTCCCATACTCAAGCAATGCAGCAACACCTTATTGAAGGTCCCCTTCTTCAGAATCCGAAGCTCGAGCGGTCCAATCGATCCCACCTTGCGCGAGCTAACATACCCTGCATCAGCAAAAGATTTGTCCAAGCTATTGCAACACTCCTTCAACACATTTTCATCAGGTTCACCACTTAGCTCCCAGAATATCACATAGTGGCCTACTTCTTTGGTTAAATCCACATGACTGGTGAAATCTATCAGTTCTACCTTTTCTGCAGCCAATAACTTGCTAGCTTCTTCTACCGCGATTTGTAGATCACTCTCAGTGTTCTTGTCTATGTTGATGCTCAGCATTAGGTTCTGACGACATATGAATTTTAGCTCTGGGGTCGAGTTGTGGAACCCCATTACCTTCACAACATCTCCTAGCCTGTAACGATATAAACCTGCAATAATAATATAGCATTGAATATTATTCAAGTATGTATTATACTGAGAGTGAGGGATAGCTCGATCAGGTGGTTAGAGCTATCCTCCTGGTTCCAGGAGATCTTGAAATCGATTCTAGTATATACAATACAAGTATTATGAACTGATGTAGACGAACTTCAGTAATCATACCTGCAAAATTGGTGAGGATGATTTCATATTCTTCACCAAGTTTAACCTCAGCAAGTCCTATTGGTTTTGGTTCAGCACCACCATTCCTAGTCTCATTCAAAGGAATGAACTCGAAGTATCCAATGTTCGGAAGAACAGCAAAGGTAGCCTCTTCAGGAGGTGATCTTGGGTTGACATTTGCTGCAATCCATCCTTCAGAAGCTCCATAATCAGCACAGACCAAAGGCAACCACCCGGCATACCGCCTTAATTGTTTAACATAAGGCTCCATAGCCCCTGTCATTATCCCTAAAACATACTTAGCATTTGGGAAAAGCTCTGGTATAAGGCCATACCAATTGGTTAAACCCAAGCATTTGTAGTAGATCATGTTAGCCAACTTTGGGTTAGGCTTGAGAATTTCGGACATAGCAGCACGAGTAGTGGGATCAGTGACTCTCTCGTTTAAGATTCCAAATCGGATATCAGAGCAGAGATCTTCCCAAACTTGTTCAAATGTTTGAAACGCTTGAACGATGCTGTGAGCAAATGAAGAAGAAATTATTTGGACCTGGTCGTAGTGCAATAAGCCACACAGAAGATGGCAGTACAATGATTGATGAAAATCGGACCCGAAAATGACTTCAACTGGGCTGCAACTTTGGGATCGTATACACTTGGTTAAGTCTTTGTATTTTGGGTGGCGGAAAACATGTGTTGTTGCAGTTCCAGCAATAAGCCCTCCTTCAGTTACAAACGGTTTGCTACTGTAAACAAATGCCAATGCTTTTCCATTTGTTAAGGGAAACTCTCTGCAACCAACACATACAACAATTGATGAGTAGTCAGTAATTAAATGTCGTAACACTCCAAATTTACCTATGCCGTACTTGACACTTCAAGGTAGCTACTACCTCCGGGTCATATTATATGCTTGTAATTTTTTATATCTCACAAATAATACTCCAAAGTTGTATATAATACGATCCGGAGGTAGTATAAATAATTACTTGTGGTAGTCATTTTAAAGATGACTAGCTATTGTAGAATTTTCACTCGATGAAAGGGTGATATATAATTATTTACCTGTTTCGGTATGCAAAAGAAGTATACCACATTTGCATGGTGGTATCAAAGACTTTATCATTGTAAGGTAAAAACTTGCGCTTCCCTTGAGTTGTTCCAGAGCTATATATGAAAATAAACCAACCAAACATTATACAAAGTTACAAACCACAAACCAACAATAAATTAAATGATATCCTTTCAATTATAATTTTTTTTTTCAAGTCCATCAAATTATAATTGGGCATTCGAGTTATTAAGCTAGAACAGATCCTGGTCATGACATAAATAAGTCACTTTAAATATACTTGTACAAAGTATTCCTCCGTCCCATAATATCTAACAATATTGCACACATATCAATGCACTGATTCAACTTTATTTTTATACAATTAAATGTAAATGAAAAATATTTTAAACAATTATATTATGAAACTTTATATTAATATCTATCTAATAACATATTTTATAATAAAATATATTTTTATTATGTTAGTAAAAAATTATAGTCAAAACTAATAGATGAATAGCGAAAAAAGAGTCCAATATCTCAGATATTCTAAGACGGAGGGAGTAATATAAAGAAAAATGAAAAATTAAGTGTACCTCAAAGAAAAGGATGGGATAGGTTTGCCAGTAATAATAGGAGAAGAATCTCCATTCATAATTTTTTGAATATAAGGTTCTATAACCTCATGAGTTATAAGAGGAACACATTGCTTGAAACTCTCCTCATCTGTTCTTCCATTAAGGCCTACGTTTAGCAAGTACTCGGCCGAGGCGTTTTCTTCTAGTATCTTCCTTAGCGTTTCTTCCTGTACTTTTCCTGCATTCCTGCTTATTTCTTCAAACTTCTTGATCACATTCTCTGGGTCAAATTCTTCCTTTGTTTCGTCCTTCAAATATTATTCAACAATAGATAAGCAGGAAAAAAGTCGAAGGGTATTTTGAATTAATTATATATAAGTACTTTATAAAGGAGAGTTTTTTCCCGAATTTTTAAAAAGGCACGTAGCATTTAATTTTTTCAGCCCGTCATGTAGAATAATAAATTTTAATGGTAGCCAATTAAATACGATATTATTAATTTCATTTAGAATTAAATAATTTAAATGACACGTAAGCAAAATTGACGAATGAAGTTTCTCACTTTAAATTAATTAAATATAAAATATTATCTTTTGATATCAGGAATTTTATCTAAATATATAACAAATTTTAGCACATAAATATATATATTTAAAAAAATATTTAAAAATTCAAACAAATCGTGCATCGCACGTACTTCCATTTAATAATGTATTGCTTTTATAAAAATAGTTACTTATTGAAAAGATCTTGCTAACAAGCGTTCAGAGCGTTAGATAATGATCTTGCTAACAAGCCCAAATAACCACCAAATATAAAATACTCCGTAACAAAAAAAAAAAAAATAAATAAATAATTAAATATCATGTACTATAGTAAAGCTTGTAGTTTAGTCAACTTAGGACATGTTCTCATTGACTGAACTGAACTTATTAGAGTTGAACTAAAGTGAACTAAACCGAAATAAATATTTTATGAGAGAAGGAAATTAGGAGCTGAACTGAACTGAACTAAACTGAAAATAATTCGACGAGAACATGGCCTTAGTCAACTTATTTCCATAGTCAAAATGACTTTTTTGTTTTTTTTTTTTAAAAAAAAAAAGAATATGACTTTAAAATAAAAAAATAAAGAATATGACTTTTAAAAAAAAAAAAAAAAACCAACAATAACAACAACAACAAATGTGAGGTCCATATTTAATGAAATGTTGTTGACTTTTTTTTTTCGGCCCAATGGTTTCTAGTCACCACTCACCAGTGATAGACCCATTTCCATTTCCTGTTGTGTGATGTTTGAATCAAATTATACTCATTTCCTGTTGTGTGCATATTTGAATGTATAGATTGAGAAGGATTTCATACGTAAATTTCTCTATGACTTAATGATGTATATTAAAATAAATATTCAACCTTTGAATTGAGAGTTTTAGATATATAGACTTCACACAATTGGAACAAAAGATCATCGTTATATTCTTGAATTCTAATAAACATGTGAGGATATGCATGGTTAAAACAATGTAAATACTTATTTTGAATGAGTAAGAAAAAAAATCGTATGATTAGTGTTTGGTGGGACAAAGGGATTACCTTATAAGCAAAATTGTTTTGATTGTTTGACATGATTAAATCATAAAGCAGTTATTGCCTCCAAAGATTAAACATAATGGTTTTTCGAATTGTGCATATATCTTACAAAATGCTCGAACTAGTAGAGGATTTTTAAGAGCGTAGAGAATAAAAGAGGAACGGTATTATGTATATTCTATACCTTATAATAACTCTTTTATAAGCATAAGAAAACGGGGAAGTTGGAAGATGAGGGGTAGAAATCGTGGAAACATTACAAACTATCAACGGAGAAAACGCGAATTGAAAAAGGGGCAGAAAGCGTGCAATTTTTTCGAAATGATCAATGAAAATAATGTGAATTGAAGGGGAGAAATTAATTTGACTACAGTTACATAATTGAAAAATAATGTGAATTAAAGCAAGGGTGAAACTCGTTTGGTGGTTTGAAATCTATCAATGAAATATACCCATTTAAAGGCTAATACTGAAAAATAATGTGAATTGAAGCATGCTGAAACCCATTTAATGGTTAGAAAACTATCATATGAAAAATCATGTGATGAAGAAAGGGGAAAACTCATTTAATGGTCCTTATACTTTTATAATAATGTGAATTGAAGTAGGATGAACCTCGTTTAATGATTAGAAAACTATCATATGAAAATTCATGTGATAAAGAGAGGGAAAAACTCATTTAATGGTCTCAATACTTAATAATATAATGATGTGAATTGAAGTAGGATAAAACCTGTTTAATAGTTACAAGACTGTCAATGAAAATAATGTGATTTGATCAAGGGGAGGAAAAAACGTGAATTGTTTACAAAGGTAGTTCAGTAATTACAGACGTAATTCTTTTTTTTTTTTAAAAAAACATAAATTACAGACATAATTGTAAGCTCAATTTAGAATTGGGTGGATAGGATAAAAAAATGCTAAAAACTTGTGCAATAATAATAGACATGATTGCAAGCCCAAAACTTGTGCAATAATTATAGACATGAATACATGATCCTCACAAACTTATGAGGCTAATGATGTGGCATGTAGAGATGCAATGTGGCAAGAAAGTGAAAGTAAATAAATAAATAAAAATAAAATGGAGGGAATTATATAAATATTTTGTTTAATTAATTTTCATAAATTTAAAATCATTTATCAGAATTTTCGTTTAGATAATAATCAAAACTAGTAAAAGAATGTTTAGTGAAGTGTAAGGCATTTGTACATGGCTTGTTGAATGACGACCTCTCTTTCTTGTCATTCTTCTCCTTATCAGTCTTATTGCCACTTTCAGTAGATGTATTGATCAAAGCGAAAATAGTTTGAAAACTTCTATCAATAACTAACTGTTCTATTTTTATTATTTTTTTGCGTGTCAAACTCATGATTATATTACACATTAATACGAAAATAAAGATATCTTATTTTAAAATCTTTTTGTTTTAAGGACTAGTGTATAAATAAATTCAAAGTGAGTCATATCTAGAGACCAAATATAATCAATTGAATTAACATAATTGTGGTTAATCTATGCTAATGTGCTATACTACTATCCATGGGTCTATCAAGACAAGTATAAGTGATGAGAATTTGATCTCATGTATATCTTGAGAAGCTTTCAAACTCTAATAAGACTATTTTTTATAAGTATTCACTAAATTAATTACCAAGCAAGGCTACACTACTTGGTTAGGGAATCCTCTAACCTTGAGGCCAGAGATTTGTACTTTGGGCAAGGTCATTTATCTCTACTGTGAGGGTTGAGATTCACCAATGATCATATTTTATATAATATATATGGCTCTTTAAAGAGAGTACTTGACAAGTATTTACACTTTAACAATCATATGCACCACTACAACTATTTGAAATTTTTTTTCTACCATTCTCAAATTAATTCGAATAAACTAAAAGATACTCTGTATGTTATGTTCCTCAAGAAGTACACTTAAGCCAACATAGAAATTAAAAAACTTTGAATCAAGCAAATGAGAAATCATACCTCATAAACGAAATTGTCCTGATAGTCTGACATGATGCAATCAAAAAGCAAAAAAGTGTGTCCAAAGATTTAAACACAATACAACGATGTTTTTGAATTGCACTCTCGAAGTAAAAAGTGATCGAAACTCTAATAATTTAAGCAAGAAACATTAAGAGAAATAGAATATGAGGAATAGTTTTGTGTATTTTAATAATTTCCACACTCTAATCAGCACTGTATTTATATGCATCCAAGGGATTAAATTTTAGCTGATCATTAATTATTTATTTGTGGTAAAGGATAAATTCAAATTAAAGAACATAGACCTAATTAAAACAATTGAACCCTGAGTGAAAAAAGAAGGGATGATATATATTATTAAGTTTTATAATTTGTATTCTATTGTGACCTTTACACAAGAGTATTTTTAAAGATGTCTCATTCATTAAGGGGAGGTGGATGAGATTTGAACTCATGACATTATTGTCTTATACTTGTCATTAACAGAGATAATAATCCAGTTTGCTACTTTGATTAGCATAACTTACATTACCAAATTTGTTTTCAATAATTTATAATACCAAAAATCTTACTAATAATTTACATTACCAATAAAATTCCCAATAATTTTTATTACCAAAAATCTTCCTAATAATTTACATTACCAATAAAATTCTCAATAATTTTTATTACCAAAAATCTTCCCAATAATTTACATCACCAGTAAAATTCCCAATAATACAATTTCTTAAATAGACTTGGTTCACACTAATTTATTGTGAACCATTAACATTAGAGACAATATAATTGTTTTATTAATAATAAAAAAAGCCACTATATTATAATAAAGGTTATTATATTGAAATAAAAGTTAGTGTGACATTATAAAAGCAAATAATAAAGATCACTATGTTAAAATTAAGTCACTATTCGACATAATGTCGTACTTTAAATTCATAATAACATTAAAGGTCCACTCAAAATTTTAAAAAAGGTTACTATGTTAAAAATAAGGTTATTATGTTAAAAATAAGGGTTACTATATTGAATATTATGTTAGTTACGTGTGAATAAACCTTAGGTTCACAATAATATTATTGTGAACCAGGTCCACACAAGATTTTCTGTCCCAATAATTTATATTAACAAATTAAAAAGAGTCCACTTTGATAGAGAGTTGACCTCATCACTTGACATAGGTTAAATGTCATTAAAGATCTTCCAATTGAATCTAGCCAAAAAGGAAATATATACACCTATTATCCATGTATCAATACTCCATACAAATTTACAAATGATGAAAACAAAAATCGAATATTTTAATTAGTTGGTAAAATATTGAGGGGTCGTTTGGTTTGCACAAGGTAAACGGAATAGATAGAATAAAGGGAAACAAAGGGAATGGAATGAAAAACCATTCCAAGTACAATGTTGTTTGTTTTACAAAACACGGAAGGAACCAAACCACCACACCACCACCATAGAACCACCTATTTTCTTCACTATGAAACCTTTTCCACCTATTTTCTTCACTCGCCAGCCCTTGCCGCACATCCCCCACTCTCTCTCCCCGGAAAATGCTCCCCCTCCCCTGAAAACATTCACCCACCTGCGAAAAACTCTAGAAACCCCTTCCCCTCCTTCTAAAACCGCCAGCCAAGAAAATTTAAAATCGATAAAATTTGGTTTTTATTTTTTTACCCTGAGAAAAAACTCTTGAGAATTAATGTAAGCAAATCAATAACTTAGTATGAAAAGTGAAACCAGTGATGACACTTGTATACATTTTACATTAAGGTTTTTTTTAATCGACGTTAATTTATTTATTTATTTATTTTTATTATGAAAATGAGCATAAATAAATTGTATATTAGGATACTATAATTTGTTTTTTTTAGTAGATGGTTAAAATTAATATTGTATTTCCCTATAAATTAAGTAAAATCCGTACATTGCACGGGAGTACGGGACATTAACCAGTTTTAAATAAAAGTAACAGAAATCATGCAATAATTAAAATGGGGCTATGATGAAAGATAAACAACAAAAGTTTCGTTCTGTGATTGAGAAAAAACATTAAGCAAAGTTTGCTAGAAACATACACTTATTATGGATGATGAAACACATAACATCACTCTTAACTTACTAATAAGCAGTGCTAAAGTAACTTTTAGCAACATTATCACACACAATTTCAAAGATGGGCATATTGTTAGACCCAACATATCTTGGTGTCTTAAACTGGTTAGGAGTATTTCCCATGTTCAAGCAATGCAACAGTATCTTATTGAACGTTCCCTTCCTCACAATCCGAAGCTCAAGTGGTCCGATCATTCCTGCCTTACGCGAGCTCACATACCCCATATCAACAAATGATTGGTCCAAACAGTTGCAACATTCCTTGACAACATTTTCATCAGGTTCACCACTTAGCTCCCAGAATATCACATAGTGACCTACTTCTTTGGTTAAGTCGACGTGGCTGGTGAAATCGATCAGGTCTACCTTTTCTGCTACCAACAACTTGCTTGCTGCCTCTACGGCCACCTGTAGATCGTTCTCAGTGTTCTTGTCGATGTTGATGCAGAGCATGAGGTTCTGACGACATACATACTTCAGCTCCGGAGTTGAGTTATGGAAGCCTGCTACCTTGACAGTATCTCCTAGTCTGTAACGGTACAAACCTGAAATAATAATAAGGAACGAAATTGATGTTGTCTACACTACAAGAAATTGATTTTGACTAGACAAAACTTTAAAATATACGGAGTAATTATTAAATCAATTACAAAGATTAAACATACCTGCAAAGTTGGTGAGGATGATTTCATATTCTTCACCAAGTTTAACATCAGCAAGTCCAACAGGTTTTGGTTCAGCACCTTCATTCAAAGGAATAAACTCGTAGTACCCAATGTTCGGAATAACAGCAAAGGTGACCTCTTCAGGAGGTGATCTTGGGTTGATATTCGCCCCAATCCATCCTTCAGAAGCCGCGTAATCAGCACAAACCAAAGGTACTCCTCCAGCATACCGCCTTAATTGTTTAATGTAAGGCTCCATAGCGCCAGTCATTATCCCATAAACATACTTAATATTCGGGAAAAGCTCTGGTATAAGGCCATACCAATTGGTTAAACCCGAGCATTTTCTGGTGATCATGTCAGCCAAGTCGGGGTTAGGCTTAAGCAGTTTGGACATAGCAGCACGAGTATTTGGGTCAGTCACTCTGTCATTCAAGGTTCCAAATCGGATATCAGAGCAAAGATCTTCCCAAACTTGTTCGAATGTTTCAAAAGCCTGTACAATGCTATGAGCAAATGTTGAGTAAATGCTTTCGATTTCGTTGTAGCTCAATAAGCCACACAGAAGATGACAGTATAATGATTGATTGAAAACAGATCCGCAAATGACTTCATCAGGGCTGCAACTTTGTGAACGAATTTTCTTCAGTAAATCTTTATATCCGCGGTGGCCGCATACATTTGTTGCAGCAGTTGCAGATGGAACGCCTCCTTCAGTTAAGAACGGTTTGCTACTGTAAAGGAGCATCAGTGCTTTTCCATTTTTTATGGGAAACTCTCTGCAACCAAACAAAGTGTACAACAATTTAGTCTCTAAGACTAAGTAACTAATATGTAACACTCCAATTTTATTCATTTTGCTTTAGTATTACTTGTTTCGACTTTAGGATAGACTTGGTTATTGGACAGGGTAGGCCAGTGGATATAGGAATTGGGTCAAAATTAAAAGAGTTTTTTTTATTGGACAAGATTTCCTTATAAATACATTAGGCTCGAAATGTTAGCCTAATATAAAAGAAAATTAAAATAAGTAACATCAAAAAATATGGTTCAGTTCAGTTCAGTTCAGTAAATTTCAGTCCAAAATAACGGGACCTTACCTGTTCCGATAAGCAAAAGTAGTAAGAAAGACTTGGGTAGTATTATCAAAGAGTTGATCATTAAAAGGTATAAACTTGCGTTTCCCCTGAGTCGTTCCAGAGCTATGAAAATAAACCAACAAAACATCATAAATCCTCTCAAAAATTACTTGGATATCAACCTTAACAAAGATGCATAAAAAGAATATTCAAAGGAACAAAATTAATTACCTGACAGAAAAGGAGGAAAAAGGTTTTCCAGTAAGAATAGGAGTTGTTTCACCTTTGATGATTCTTTGAATATAAGGTTCCAAATCCTTGTGAGTTACAACAGGAACACATTGCTTAAAACTCTCTGAGTCTGTTCTTCCATTAAGGCCTACTTCTAGCAAGTACTCGGCCGAGGCGTTTTCTTCTAGAATCTTCCTTAGTGTTTCCGCTTGTATTTTCCCTGCATTCCTGCTTGATTCTTCAAACTCCTTAATCATTTTCTCTGGATCAAATTCTTCATTTCCTGCATTCTTGTTTAATTCTTCATTTTCTTTCAATATTTCCACACTACCTTCCTACATTATATAAAAAGCAAGTCAAATAAGTCATTCTAAGCTAGTTTCAGTCATCAAGTTAACTGTTCTAAACAAAAAGTGAGTAATTTCTAAAACAAGGTACAAAGAAACAATACAGCAGAAAACAATATAAAGAAGTCCCTCCGTTTTTAAATATTTGCTCTATTTTTTCATGCGCGGGGTTTTAGGAGAAATTGGAGAAAGTAATAAAATATGGAGGTAAGGTAGTTGAGAAAATAAAAATTGTAAAAAGCAAAAATAGTGGAAGAATGGGAGGAGAGAGAGTATTATGTTGGGTCCATTAAGTGTGAGAAATGAATTAAATATTGTAAAAGTTTTCCATAACAGAAAATAGAGCAAGTATTTAAAAACGACCGGAAAAGGAAAGTGGAGCAAGTATTTAAAAACGGAGGGAGTAGTATTTAGCTGGCTCATTATGGAGAGTGATAAATTATATAGACGGGGGTTTTATCTTAGGTACCACTTTCAAGACTTTTTTACTAGTCAATAAATTATGCAAGCCCAAACGAACAAAACTGCCACTTAATATTGTAGTTTTTAAGATTCAATCTTAATTACATGTTTGCCATTTAATATTCTATTTTTTAAGATTCAATCTTACAAAAATAGATATCGGAGAATTTATTTACAAAAGCAAAATGGTTTATTTTTTTCAGAAAACTAAAATCAATAAATGGAATCTTCATTCTTGTATGGTTTGGACAATGTAAAACCTTGTTTTGAATGAGCAAAATTGACTTGTTTGTTATGAGTCTTAGCTTGATGGAACGAAGTAAGTACCTTATAACCAAAATTGACTTGATTGTTTGACATCATTGAATTATAAAAGCAGCTATTGCCTCCAAAGATTTAGCAAATGAGTTACCGAAATGTGCACTTATGTAAAAGAGATTGAGCTAGTAGAGAATTTAGAGAATAGAAAAGGAACAATTTTGTGTATTTTTCGTACTCTAAAGTCTAAACCACACTCATAATTCATTTATAAGCATAGGAAAACGGGGAAAGTAAGTGATGGGAGGTAGAAAATTATGCAATCATTATAAACTATCAATGAAAAAAGGTGAATTGAAAAGGGGGTGAAGAAAAGCATGCGATCTTTAGAAAACTATCAAGGAACATAATGTGAATTGAAGATGAGATTCATTTGATGGTTACAAAATTGATAAATAATTTTAAATCAAGGGTGAAACTCGTTTATTTTAATGCTGGTTCGAAGCTATCAATGGAAAATACTCATAATATATATGAAGTAGGGGAGGGGAGATTCTCATTTAATGAAAAATAATGTGATTTGAATTATGTGTGGAACTTGTTTAATGTTTAGAAAATTATCATGTGATGAAGATAGGGAAAACTCATTTAGTGGCTACAATGCTGAAAAATTATGTGAATTAAAGCAGGGGTGAAGCTCGTGTGAAGGTCAAACTTAAGAAAAATCATGTAATGAAACTAGAGGAGGGAAAACACTTTTTGTGGTCCCCAAACTTTATAATAATGTAATTTGAAGCAGGGTGAAACTCGTTTAATCGTGAAAAAAACTATCATATGAAAAATCATGTGCTGAAAACTGAGAAAACTCTTTTAATGGTCAAAAAACTTGATTATAATGTTTGTTGCAAAATAATAATAATAATAATAATAAAATAAAATATTATTATGTGAAATGAAGCAGGGAAAACTTGTATAATGGCTACAAAACTATCAATGAAAAAATATGTGATTTGATGAAAAAAAAAACTATCAATGAAAAAATATGTGATTTGATGAAGATAGAGAAAAAAATGTGAGTTTTTTTTTCGTGTTCTACCCGGTTTACCCTTTGGGCTAATCCGAATTCGGAAATCAGTTCTACGTAATTAGGTTTCATTCCCCTCCCAATTGTTGTTACGGAAGATAAAATAAATGTGAGTCTTTTACTAGTTCAATAATTGCAGACATTATTTTAAGCCCAAACTAAAATTGATTAACAGGACCAAAAATGTTAAGAGGTTGTGCAATAATTACAGACTTGATTGCAAGCCCAAAACATGTGCAATAACTCAATAAGACATGCTTGCAAGCCCAAAACATGAGCAATAATTATAAACTAGTACTTCCTCCGTTCTATTAATATTGCAACAATGGACTTTTTGCACTATTCATCACTCTTGTTTGATCATATAATATGAATTATACGTTAAGCAAAATATAGTCAAGTGGGATCTTGTTGGATTCGTCTCATAAAATACTTTCACAATATCAACTTTTTATAATTTTTACTCTTACACAATTATAGATATTTAGCATATACAAGGTGTTTCGAGATGCGTAATATTTCTCCTTGTTGCAATATTAACAGAACGGAGGAAGTATAGGTGAGAATTTGATCTCATGTCATGAAAAGCATTCAAACTTTGACTTTTTTTAGTTGGTTAGGGAATCCAAAAAGTCAAAAACATTGGGGTCAAATCTTATGCACCATTGCAAAATATACGAGGTACAATTAGGACTATTAAAAAATTATTTTGAATTAATCAAATAAAATATCAAATTTAATATTAGTGAAATAAAGGGAGTACCTTGTAAGCAAAATTGTCCTGATAGTCTGACATAGTACAATAAAAATGACACTAATACTTAAAATTGCGCACTCTAAACAAAAAGCGATTGAAGCTCAAACAATTAAGAAATATTAAGAGAGGAGAGAAAATAGGAGGAATATTTTTGTGTATGTTCCACACTCTAATTAATCATTTATTTATAAGCATGTTAGGGATGGATTAAGTTTTACCAAAAATCTTCACAATAATTTACATTACCAAAAACTTCCCAATAATTTACAATACCAAAGATAGTTCACTTCAAGATAGAGTCCACCTCATCATCACTCTACCTACATTAAATGTCATTAAAATTATTTACATTGCCAAAAAAAAATCATCCAATTGAATTTAGCCAAAAAGGAATGAATAATATATACTCCCTTCGTCCCTTATTTAGATTTCTACTCTTAATTTAGTTGAAGTAGGAATCTAATTAAGGGACTGAGGGTCTAAGGGAGTATTATTATTATCCATGTATCAAATACGAAGTAATATTTTTGTTTCATAATAAACATAATTTTGACCATTAAAATAGTTTCCATCTGAAAAAATAGGGCTAAAAGGAAAACATGGAAGACCAAATAATAAAACTTAGCTTCCATTCTATCATTGTGAAAAAACATTATAATAAACAACATTTACTAAAAACATACACTGATGAATGATGATGATACACATTACTCTAATTTAACTTACTAATATGCAGTACTAAAATAACTTTCAACAACATTATTACACAGAATTTGTAAGACTGGCTTATTGTTAGACCCAACACATCTTGGAGTCTTAAACTGGTTAAGAGTATTCCCCATGCTCAAGCAATGCAACAGTATCTTATAGAAGGTTTCCTTCTTCACAATCCGAAGCTCAAGTGGTCCAATCATTCCTACCTTGCGCGAACTCACATACCCTGCATCAGCAAATGATCGGTCCAAACAGTTGCAACACTCCTTCAACACATTTTCATCAGGCTCACCACTTAGCTCCCAGAATATCACATAGTGACCAACTTCTTTGGTTACATCTACATGGCTGGTAAAGTCAATCAGGTCTATCTTTTCGGCTATCAGTAACTTGCTTGCTTCTTCCACCGCGAGTTGTAGGTCTTTCTCCGTGTTCTTGTCAATGTTGATACTTAGCATAAGGTTCTGACGACATACGAATTTCAGCTCAGGAGTTGAGTTGTGGAACCCCATTACCTTGACAGCATCTCCTAGCCTGTAACGATATAAGCCTGCAAGTATAATAGGGACATTCAGCATTATTTTAAGTATGTTATCATTGTTATGAACTAATATCAACAATTTAGCTAGGAAGTTTGTTGGAACAACAAGTGTGTAGTGTGTGAATTTTGTGAAAAAACTCAAAGTCCCACATTGGTGGGAAATGAGAGTTTTACTCTCTTTATAATATAGAGAGTGGGCTAAAGGGGTGTGGCCCTTGGGCTACCCAAATTTTTCCGTTACATTGCTTGATTCTCGTTGCTGTTTTACTGCTACACGTTGCAACTGATTTAATGCCTTGATTCTTGCTTAACGAATACACTAATTGCAGTAAACGTTGCTAATCTTTCTCCCGTTTTCATGCTTAAGTTGTTACGTATCTTTACCTATAAAAGGACGGTTCCAGCTTTGTTTTTAAATACACGGAAAAAAAAAACAGAAAACCACTTTGCAAAATATATTTTCTCTTCCTCTCAAAACAGTCGAGCAGTTTCTTTCTGATTTTCTGGTGTTCCATTGTCCGGTGGTTCGGTGCAAAACCGCCGGTATTTTATACTTGTGGAAGACTGTTTTATCCTGGGGGCATCCGGGTTGGTACGAGCTGCTTGCACAAGTTTGAGACAGTGCCGTGAATGTTCTAAAGAGAGCGACATAGTCCGCGACTCAGTCTTATTCTCGGTAACATTGTTCTTACTATTTTATTTGTGCAATTCCATTTATAACAAAGTTGGAGTTGATGTTGATTTGAAATTGACAGGAAAACAAACTTAGATTATTCATCAACCAATAAATAAATCAGAAGCTTGGATCATGAATTGAAAGAACAAAATAAATAAATAAAGAAAAGCAGAGCAAAATAGTCAGAAATCACAGCTGGATAAGTATATTTTATATTTTACTTGTTTCAAAGCATCTTTCCAAGAATCATATACTAATAATACTTTGCTTTCATAAATTATTTTGATCAACTTGTAGAAGCTTTTGATGGGATATACATTATTATGTTAGGCTTCTTTGGGATAATAAAGTCTCCACTAAAGATATGGCTGCACTCTTAACTGTGTTACTATCCTCTGCTGTAATGTGCAAGGCACTATGCTACACAAATTTTCGATCCCATTTTTTGTGTACCATCTTTGTGTCAATCCGCAATCTAGTTTATTGGTTGATAATAGTCATATCATAGTCCTATGACCTACCAATGGACCAATTTTTAATTAAAATTCACATATACGTTAAACAGACAAATTAAAATAAGTGACGTATATATGGTACACAAAAAGTAAAACAAAAGAATTTATTATGTGACGACAAGGGAAGAATGGAGCCCAGCCGACCATGGTGGCCCCATCTTCCCCTGACTGCACCACACAGAACACAACTAAGCAGGGGATCCTGAATAAGGATAGGAGGCTAATCAAAACTAGCAGGAAAAATTTAGGTAAAGTGAATTCAGACTATGATTCCACCAGTAGGCAACAACAACATGCTATTGGACAAAGACATCATCAGACTATGATATTCCCACATAAAGATGATTAAATTTGACAAATATACTATGGTCCATGAATATCAACTAGATCTGGAACCTAGATTAGATGTATAATATAAGGTTTTTATTATGTTTTGGAGTGACTAGTCCAATATATTCTCTAACCAAACGTAAGTGTCCAAGTGTATGTACTGTGTTTGAACATTACAAATGACTTTGATCTTTATAGTGGAATATGATTAGTGAGCATAATTACATAAACCCTTTTTCTACAGGCTGTTTGTTATTAGCCTATTATCTTCAAAACCAAAAAATTGCTAAATTCTAAATTTTGAGGGAATACATCAACAGAAATCGGTCCCAGTAGGGTAACCAAATAACACGACAAGCCTATTTGTATAATTAGTTAGACAACTACTCGTAATGTCTAATGGCCATAATAGGGGATGACACGTAGTCACGTACGGTCTCTAATAAGTAACTAGTCGGATTTGAATATAACATGTAGCATTAATATTGATTTGTAGACCATAATAAAAATAATTACAAGGATTATCATACCTGCAAAGTTGGTGAGGATGATTTCATATTCTTCGCCAAGTTTAACCTCAGTTAGTCCAACAGGCTTTGGTTCAGCACCACCATTCCTAGTCTCGTTCAAAGGAATGAACTCAAAGTACCCTATGTTCGGAAGAACAGTAAAGGTGGCCTCTTCAGGAGGTGATCTTGGGTTGACATTTGCTGCAATCCAGCCTTCTGAAGCCCCATAATCAGCACAAACCAAAGGCAACCACCCAGCATACCGCCTTAATTGTTTAATGTAAGGCTCCATAGAGCCTGTCATTATCCCATAAACATACTTAGCATTCGGGAAAAGCTCTGGTATAAGGCCATACCATTTGCTTAAACCCGAGCATTTTTCAATTATCAGGTCAGCCAACTCAGGGTTAGGCTTTAGCAGTTTGGACATAGCAGCACGAGTAATTGGGTCAGTTACTCTGTCATCCAAACTTCCAAATCGAATATCAAAGCAAAGATTCTCCCAAATTTGTTCAAATGTTTGAAATGCTTGAACAAGGCTATGAGCAAATGTAGATGAAATGATTTGAACATCGTTGTAGTTCAGTAAGCCACACAGGAGATGACAGTATAATGATTCATGAAAATCAGACCCGAAAATCACTTCGTCAGGGCTGCAACTTTGGGATTGAATTCCCTTCATTAACTTTCTATATTTCGGGTGGCGAAAAACATTCGTTGTTGCAGTCCCAGCAGGAAGGCCTCCTTCAGTAATGAACTGTCTGCTACTGTAAAGGAAAACCAACGCTTTTCCATTTTTTATAGGAAATTCTCTGCCAACAAAACGAAAGTGTACAACATTTGAGTCATCAATTATGTAAACCAATCCAATTATTCTCTAAACTGTTACATTGATCCTTAATAATACTCGTGTCGGGCACTTGACACTCCGAAGTAGGTATGGATAATCGACACTCCATAAAAAAAGTAAAGATTCTAAAAGAAATTAAATATCAAATCTAAAAAGGGAGCAGATACTTGACATAATCAAGCAAATAATACTCTAATCTCTAACTACTTTCTAAATTGCAACTCTATAGATAGGAAAAAATAAATATCTACCTGTTTCGGAACGCAAAAGAAGTATGATAGATTTGCATAGTATTATCAAAGAGCTGATCATTAAATGGTACAAATTTTCGTTTTCCTTGAGTCGTCCCAGAGCTGCAATAAATCAATCAACCATATGAATGAGCTGACTATAGTACCTAGAAAAGATCCGACCTTAACATCAATGACTCAATAGACTTAAAATATAAAACGACTAAAGAATCATATGAATGAGCTGAGTATAGTACCTACAAAGGATCCCGACCCTAACAACAATGACTCGAAACACTTAAAATAAAATGTTTTAAAAAAATAAAAACAACTAGACAATGATATGAATAAGGTGAGTATAGTAAAGTACCTCAAAGAAAGAGTTGGAATAGGTTTTCCAGTAAGAATAGGAGAAGAATCTCCATCCATAATTCTTTGAATATAAGGTTCTAAATCCTTGTGAATTACAATAGGAACACATTGCTTAAAACTCTCTGAGTCTGTTCTTCCATCAAGGCCTACTTGTTGCAAATACTCGGCCGCCGCGTTTTCTTCTAGAATCTTCCTCAGTGTTTCCTCCTGTACTTTTCCTGCATTCTTGCTTAGTTCTTCAAACTCATTGATCACTTTCTCAAACTCAAATTCTTCAATTTTTTCCAACATTTTTACAACAACCTTAACTTCCTGCACAAAATTAGCAACCAATTTACATTAGTATTGTTACTAATATTATTTATCTTTCTTTCTCTATAATAATAATATGATATAATTATAATTTGTAATAACAGAATAAAAGTTGGAGAGTTAAAAAGTGAATGAAGTCTTTCAAAGTTTAGTCAACAAGTCAGCTGATGTTCATTGATAATTAAATTTTCTAGAAAAATTCAGATTGATTTGATTAAAAGGAATATGATTTATTATATGTTTTTGGGTATTAATTACAAAAGATTTGGATGTTGCCCAAAATAAAATAAAAGGTGAAAAGATCAAAATCTAGAAAAGTTAAACAGCTCAAAATAGTATATTCTCAGGGGAATTTATTCACAAAGGTATAAATTTATAGAAATAAATGAAATTTGTTTTCAGAAATCCAAAACTAATCATACGAATCTTCCTCAGAGTTTGGACCTGTAAGTTTCCTGAATCAGAAATCATTTTAATCCCAATAATTAAAACATATAAGAATTAAAGTCAACAAAAGTAGTAATTAGTACTATGAATTTTAACAGAGAAAAACAAAAACATAAATAAATTACCTGAAAAATTAGCTGATAAACAGGGGAAGAAGTAGAAGAAGAAGAAGAGAAGAAGAAATGGTGATATAATACTGCTTGGAAGCACAAAGAGTCAAAAAGAAATAAAAAGGAAATTTTAAAAAAGAGCTTTTTTATTTTTTTTATTTTTTTATATGTTTGTTTCAATCACCATCTTTATCTCTCTAAAAATATTTGGTTGAGGAGAGAGAAAATGGAAGAAAAGAAGGGATCAAATACTGGTGAAGAAGGAAGATTCCTGGGTTTTGAGTTGGTTTGAGAAGTTCAATTTATAGTATTGGAGTAATACTCTTACTTGTACTCCGTATTACTACGTATTTTTTATTTTTAATGCATCTTGTTTCTCAACCATTCACCACCGTCCACCTTGCACACGTATTTCCTACCTTGTACAATACGAGTATTTCTTAAGGAATACTACTTCGTATTTAATTTCATTTGAAAAATGCTAGAGGTCGCGAATAGACTTAAAAAAAAAATAATAATAATAATAATAATAATAAAAAGTCTCGTTATGAAATAGAAGATGATTATGATATACTTGTATATATTTAATTTATTTATAACATTGGAATTTAACATGTGAATTTATTTATCTTATTGGAGATTATGATAATGAAATTGTACACCATTTCAAAATATTTGAAAAATCTTGTCTTCATTTCCTAATCACTAATAAAGAAACCGGTTTTCAAGTAGCTAATTTTTACATGAATTAACAAGATGTTCAATCTATCTAATCTGATGGAAAAGATAAATAGTGATTATAAATTATTATACCGAGTAATATAGAAATTAAAAATATTAATATAATATATGGGGAATTATGATAAGGAAATTGTATATACCTTTTTAAATATACATGAAAAAAGTTGTCTTCATTTCTAAGTCACTAATAAAGGAACGGGTTTTCTAGTAGCTATTTTAAATTTTACTTGTATTAAGATTAAGTTACGGTCAATTCGTCTAATCTAATGGGATAAAAATATACTATTAATTATTGTTGGTAAAGAATATTAAATACGTGACACTTAATATGAAAAATAAGAATTTAGCCGTCATGACATCAATATTACAGAGTGCTATATATATATTTTACCGCAAATCAAGATATATCTAGTTTCGTTCTTTAATTTGGCCCTTTGTCATGCTTGTGTGCAATAAAAAGTGGGTTGTTTAGTCTCCAATAATCTAACCAAAATATGTTCTACTAATTTCAAACAATATAAGGTCAAAAAAAAATTCAAAAGATATTACGTTTTTTTTTTCCCCAAACATTTCATACAATGATTAGTTTATGTTAAAATAAAATTAGACAGGCATATTTTCATTCTTGTTACGAAGCATGCATGCATGTTGATGTTGGTGCTCAAAAAAGACAAAGTTGAAGTTAAATTAAAAGGGTTGCATATTGACCGGTCACTTATGTCATGCAGTGATGAATTGAATTTGGGTAAAAGAGTGTGGCCGTGTGGGCACAAGGCTGAAGGCATGTTGTTAGCACTGTCAAAAACCGAACCGAACCGGTGAAACCGAACCGATTCAAACCGATCCGAATGAGAACCGAACCGATTAAAAACCGATTTTTTGAAACCGAAAACCGACCCGAACCGCATTTTAGTAAACCCGAAACCGAACCGATCCGAATAACGTTAAACCGTTTTAGAACCGAACCAAATCTAAACCGAACCGGAAAGGAAACCGAACCGAAAATAAACCGAACCGTTTACAAACCGAAACCGTTTAAACCGTCATAAAAACCGTTATAAACCGAACCGTTATAAACCGAACCGTTTACAAACCGAACCGTTTACAAACCGAACCGTTTATAAACCGAACCGCTTATAAACCGAACTGTTTATGAACCGAATTCTTATAAATCGAACCGTTTACAAACTAGTTACTACTAAGAGTGGTTATTGGGCGTGTCAGTGTGGGTCGATGCAAATCATTTAAGGGGCGAGTCGGTTGCAGGTCAAGATGAATATTTAGCGGGACAGAAATAATAAATAATTCGAGACAAATAAGGAACAACATATCAATATGTAATGTGACTAAAACTATTAATACTTGTTCTATGAAATTAAAACATTTTAACAATGAAGCAACACAATATATATTAAACATCACTAGTTCACTACAATACAACATCACGTCTTCTTAATTAGATGCAACACTTTCATCTATCACTTGTTTACCAATTTCAAGGACGTCTTCTTCAATATCACAATCATAACCACGTAACCAGTTTTGTGTGGTCACCAACGCCTCGACATTCTTAGGCAAAAGCGCACTCCTATACTTGTTTAAAATACGACCACCCATGCTAAAAGAAGACTCTGAGGCTACCGATGTAATAGGAATGGCCAAAACATCCCTAGCCATAACAGCTAATATGGGGTACACAGTAATTTGAGATTCCCAATACTTAAGAACATCGTACTTCTGCCCTTCATAAATTGGTTGCCGAGGAGTACACAAATAAGAATCAATCTCCATCGATGGCCGATTTGATGAGTCATCCTCATCATCATCATCATTATCAACATACTAGAAAAGTTCAAACAAAATGCTTTTATTAAATAATAAAATTAAAACATACAATTATTAATTTTGTAAACCATAATAAACAGAAATTGATTACCTTGAATATATCATCATCCAAGTGACTATTTGAATTATCGATAACAGCTGAAATGGCTGGTGGAGCAATTGTACTTGATGTAAAACCGAAAGACATAGAAGAATAAAAGTTATACAACTCCAAAAGAGCATCTTTAATCACTTTCGCCTTTTCAACACATGCCTCATCAACATAAAGCACTTTTAACATCTTCGTCACTCGAACAAGCTTATAACGAGGATCAAGAACAATAGCAATTGAAAGGATCAAACTATATTCATCCCAATAGCCCTCAAACTTTTCAAGCATAACTTTTGCCATGGGTGCAAGTTTAGAATCTATATGGGCTTTACTTATTGTGTGCTCAATTTTTAAAACACTAGCAAAATACAAATTTGCAGTAGGATATTCTGAACCAGAAAATAATACAGTGATCTCATGAAATGGCTTTAGGAAATTACATATTTTAGTAAGGGTATCCCATTCATCATTCGAAAGTTTGAATTCATAACCCATAAACCTATCAATAACCAATTTCAAGGCTTCCTTGGCTTCCAAAGCTTTTCGAAGCATCGTATATGTGGCATTCCAACGAGTCACAACATCAAGACGTAACTTTCCATTAAACACACAGTTAACCTCATGAAGAGCATGCTCAAATTGAGTGAGTCTAGAGTCTGAAGAATCAATATATTTACAAACCTCACGCAATATATTTACAAGAGTTGTTCTTTGCTCAGAGTACAAATTAGTTTGCTATGGCTAATAGCCTAATAGCAAACTTTGTTCATACTCTTTAATCTTTATAGAGGAAACAACCCTCTGAGGACTCCTCATTATTGAACATGAATTCGTAAAAAAAGGACTTAACTTTATTACTAGTATTATATTAGTCCCACCATTAAACATTTAAACATGAATTTAACCTTTGTCCGACCCATTCTCCACTTCCGCTCAAGCTAACATAGATTACCTCTATTCAATTTAAGATGATTGATCATGTTTTTCAATGGACCCATTCCTATTACACTAGTCAAAGGTACAATATGATTGATGGAGATGTAGCAATCAAATCACCAGTGGTGGAAAAGGCAATAGAACATGCACAGCCAAACGTACAAATTTGGCACTGAGAGCTTCAAAATCCTTTCAATTGCATACAATAAGTTTGCTTTCAGAGGATGCTGTGAATTTTGTACAATTGGATTGATATACTACAAAAAACAAAAAACAAAATGTCAAGATAACGTCTGAGATAGGAAAGCAGGGGGAAAAGATGAAATTTAATAAATAAAAGGAACAGACATTGGTGTAAACCACTCAAACAGCAAGAATTCAGAAATATATGACCCCCAACCAAGATCCCAAAACAAGACTGCTAACCTCACATAACCATAACCTCACATAACCAAAGCCAGCAGTGGAATTCACATCTGAGTTTAAAATGAATGACCATCTGAATAATAGGGTGGTCTTTCTATTTTACATCTGAATTTTACATTTCAGTAAGTGGTCTTTTGTTCTAGCTAAGAGTTTCCTAATCTATAAGTCTAAATGCAGCAGAAGATTGTTAAAAATAAAATTCTAACAAGGATCAATCTCACATCTTGTATTATTCACAAATACTTCTTCAGATGATTAAACTTGAGGAAATCTTTAACACATTACTACCAATAAGATTCCAGTAACACCACTAATCTCAGCTATTAAACAATTTTAGAATACAGATAATGTATAAGAAATTAATTAGTGAAAAAATACATGTAATTGATTAATACGAAGTATAGTATATCACAAAATCATATAGCTGGGATGGTATGGTTGTAAAATCGTATAAATTGCTAAAAACAAAAAAAAAAAAAAAAAAAAAACAGAAAAAAAAATCGGAAACAATCAAAATCATGAACAATCGGAAAAAAAAATCGAGATTAGCTTGAGTAAGTATAAATTTACCTTCAACTTAGCTTGAGAGTAGCTAGAGAGAGATTGAAAGAAGGTGCTGAGCTTGGAGATTGGAAGAAAGAACTGGAAGAAAGAAGCTAAGAACGAAAGAAGAAAGAAAGATGGGAAAAAAAAAACTTATATATGACGGCTGAGAATCAAGGAAGAGAAGGAAGCTAGGGTTTTTTTCTTATTTTGGGAGGGAAATTCTAACTCAAAATATCTAAATTCTAAATCTAAAATTTGTTTTTCCTTTTGGTTTTTGGAGGGAAATTTCCCACCATTCATATTTTGAAGAAATTGTCAACCAAAAAATAAAATCAATTTTCCACTTTGTAATAATCAAAATTTTTAATTTTTGTTTAACAACATTAAACAAACTTTTATACAATTGATTAATTACATGGTTTCAAAAAAAAAAACTAATTACATTTCTCGAATCCCGATAAAACGATATACACCTACATAATATCAGTTTTTAATTTTTTATAAATTTTTTTAACACACACATTAAAATATTAAGTTCTTTAGATTATAAAATGTGAATCAGTTAGCGTGTAAATGTCTAGCGTTGCAATTAATAAAAAAATCGAAGACCGTTTAATAATATAATGACGTCATATCTTAGAGAGCTAGTAATATTACGGATTTGTACGTATAAGCAATACACTTGTAATCGTGTAAACTTATAA